CCTCAGGGGTCAGGACGGCGAAGTTTGGTTTAGGCAAATTTCCTGACTATAAAAAAAAAAAAAAAAGGTTAGGTTAGGTTAGGTTCGGGAGTGTTCGCGGAATGGAACGGAGTTCTGTGCCAAACACGTTTGTGTACAGTTCTTCGAACCAGTCATTGCGGTTAGCACCGCAGAATCACTGACGGGAGAAACAGTGGATGGGGAGAGTGATTGCTCTTACCCTCTTCCCTCGCCGGAAAAGTGCGGGTGATAGTGATGATGAGGAGATGGAAGCTGCTGATCCGTCTTTCGTCACGCTACCCTCGTCAAGCTCCCGGAGACCAGTGGGGCAGGACGAGACAGGGATGTTTCTTGGGCTCCCGAGGACAAGAGGGTCTTGACAGGGAGGAAACAATACCCCAAGAAGACTACAGGTAAGTCCTTTACAGGAAAAAGAGGTCGCCCCATTACAACTGGGGAGTATGCTGGTTTGGCGGCTGAAAAGGAGCGTTTAAATGCTGCCATGAAGGAGTCGCTCAAATTAGAGTACGCGAAAAGAGTCCTAGACCCTTCTTTCGGTCCAACTCTGACTGCTGTTGGTCCGATGAATATTCCTTCGGACACAGCATTTGTGGAGGAGCTGAAGGGGATTACCACTGTGGAGCTCCGTAGGCTGGGAGAGAGGTTTGTGACCCAAGTCGAGAGGGTGGCCGGACTCCCTGGCCTTGGCGAGGTCATGGCTGAGGAGCTCCGGATCTCCTCAAGGAAACTTGGAGGAGTCATTAGTGAGGCCGTTTCTCGATCTACTGCGGAGGCTGATCCAAGGATGGATTCATTAAGAAGTGAAAACCAGGGTCTGAGAGTTCGTGTTACAGCCCTGGAGCGGGAGGTCGATAGATTGACGGAGAAAATAGGTTTTCTTCATTCGGCAATCCCTCAGATTGAAGGGTTTTATTTTGAAGATAAGGGTGCCAAAAAGAGACCTCGCCCACCCTCTTTGGAGGGATCACCGCCTGTCTCGGCTGCGGTGGCGGTCCTTTGGTCGAGGACCGACCAATTATGCTTTCCGATTTGTCGTCCCTTCTGGACCGTCGCTTAAGTGACTTGAGGGACGACATATCGATATCAGTAATGACCTCAATTAGGTCGGAACTTGCGGGGCGGGCTGGGGCCTCTCCCTTTTCGGGGGGAGCGGTTCCATGCGTGCGCCTTCTGTGAGTGCAGTTGGTGGAGCGACTGCTCTGGTGACTGACCCCTTGCCCGGGGTCTCTGCCTCCTCTGCTGTTGTGGAGGTTTTGGCGGATGCCTCCGGTCCGGGGGTCTCTAAGAGGAAGATAAGGCGTCGTCGGCGTGGTTCCGGGCGACTCCCACAGGTGGCTAAATGGGCTGGAGGGAGTATCCCAAAAGGAGGAGTTGCGCAAAGGGAGAAAAAGAAGACCCCTATACGCCCCCCGTCTACGGAGTCGGTGATTTCTCTAACGATTAAGGGGGGAGAGCGGGAAAAGACTTATGCCTCGGTTTTGTCCGAGGCTAAGTCTAAGATTGATGTAGGGAAACTGGAAATCAGTTCCCTGCGTATGCGTAGGGGAGTAACTGGCAGCATCTTGCTGTCAGTTAAAGGCAAAGACTCTTCAGTTAAGGCTGATAATTTGGTGTCCAAACTCAAGGACGTGTTCCCTTTTTCAGGAGCGGTGAGGATTGGCCGTCCTTCTCGAACGGAGGACGTTCGATTGAGGGGACGATGCTGTCCTTTAGTAGGCAGGACATCCTTAAGGAAGTCGCATTAGTTGGGGCTGCAGTGTTGCGGAGCTGACGGCTGGGGAAATTCGTACGTTCCCTAAGTCGGATGTCGGGACGATCTGGATTCGTTGTCCGGCTGGAGTTGCGCGGAGGCTTGTGGCGGGAAGAAGCTGGCATTGGCGGGGGGGGGCGACGCTGGATGTGATTCATCTGGCTCGTCGCCCCCTGCAGTGTTATCGGTCCACGAGTTTGGCCATTCGGCCAATTCTTGTGGCGCTGATGTGGATCGGAGTGCCCTACGTTATCTGTGGTTGCTCGGGTCATAGGGCGGCTGATGTGGCGCGGCCCCGATGTTTCTCGTTGGCGAGGGCAAAATGTCGGTGCTGCGGTGGCAAGAGGCTCGAGGGTCGTGAACGCGCGCAGGCTCCGGGGCGTCCATGTGGTCTCCAGGAAATGGACGGTCGTAGATGGGGGAAGTCGCGGAGAGGCGGTCCCCCGTCCCGGGCTCGCGTACTGCCCCCGATGTCTAGAGGTCGTTTCTGTCCCTGTACTGAGTAGCGGTGGGATGCGCGGGGGTTCCGGGGAGGGCCGAAAGATGGCGGGGGTCGCCTGTGCCCTTGCAAGGTTACAATGGGTTGCGGCGATCGGGGAGGTTCGCCCGAGGTGCCGTGCCTCGCCCCGGCCGGGTGCAAGTCCTGGCCCCTTGACAACCCTAATAATTTATTGTGGTTGGCCATAGCGCCTTGCGTGGGCTCCCTTTTGGCGGTGGCCCCTATGTATCAATGGTGCCGAAAGGTTATGCTGTCGTCCTGTGTATCCAAGTGTGTGTGTACGGCTGCGGCCGTCTCACTGATCGGGTTGCAGAGAGAGGTGGGGGCCCGGGGAGCACGTCGACCCTGGGAAGTCAGGACGGAGAGTGGCCCGCTTCCCTCGACGGCGGTGGGTTGTCTCCCGGGAGATACCTGTAGCCTCCTCTCATGTCCTTCCTAAAGGACGCCGGTCTGACCGTGAAGTTATCTAACGCTGTGCCGCGGTCTACCCATACGACCAGGGGCTTCAGTCAGTTTTAGGCCGGGCCCCCGCCCGATACCATCGGGTATTGAATATACGCGCCCGTCGTCCCTCGGAGAAGTTTGTAATCCTTTCCTGTTCCGGAGAATAAAAAAAAAGGCGACGGCGCGTTTGGTTTAGGATTTTCGGTTAGGAAAAAGGGGCACCAGGCTATCCCTGTAGTGTACTGTCGCAATCGAGGTTCCGACCCTGTATTAAAAGAGAAGGGAGAGCAAGGCTGAACCCCCGCGATGCCCTTAACACCAAGGGATGTCCTAACACCCCGGGGATGCCTTGTAGTATTTCCTTCGGCAGATGTGCCTCTCGTTCGACGCCTGTCTCTCTCCTCTTATGATATATTATGCGATACGACGGTACGCGGGAGAGGACGGCTACGAATACTCACTATGCACTTCAGCTCAAGAGGCAGGTCGATCCCGCTGAATTTAAGCATATATTAAGCTGGAGGAAAAGCAACTAACCAGGATTCCAGTAGCGGCGAGCTCAGGAAAGAGACAGCACCGATTCCCGCGGGTTCCGAATAGGAAATGTACCTACCTAAGCTAACGTTAAGTTAGGTAACTAGGTTAGGAAGGTTTAGGTTAGGTTAGGTTAGGTTAGGTTGAGTCCGTCGAGAGACTATGTCCTCGGTACACGTGTACTGAGTGCGCTCTGTACAGTAGCACGTGTAAAGGTGGTTCAAAGTGCATTTTGAATACAAAAACATTATAGAATTATTGTTTGTGGTGCCAAGATTAATGGCAAATGGAGGCAGATCATTTAAACAATTAGTTTGTTTATAATAAGCCATCGAAATACTCACACGTGCTCTGCCTGTCTAGTTACTTTTTGACAGGCAGTTAAACACTTGTTAAGTGAATTAAAAGTGTATTAAAACTGGTTTTTATTATTGCCAGATTGTTTGTTGAGATGAACTACATCATATATATAATTTTAGACATCTCCGTAAATTACTGCAGATAATATAAGTGAAATTGTGTTGAGACTATCGATGTCTCTCTCTTACTAATAGACTTTTGATAGAAACATATTATCTGGCCCTTAGATAATCACTACATATGTGGAACTATTTTTAATATATTCTCACTAATAATAAGTAGTTTCTATAAAAGTTTGCAGTGCCAGAATTATTTAATTCTGTTAAAACATTAGTTTTCATCATTGACTGTCGCTGTCTCTTTCGCTCCAATGGATATGGAGTAAAAGTTTATGTTCACAGTGATATACACCTTTCTCACGTGGGAATATATTTTTGGTGTATTCCTATGGCTAAAAGATATAGTGTGTGAAAATTTTGGTAGTTGAAATTTATTAGTTTACTTATAAATGACTGCTGCAATCTCTGACTAGTGCTATCCTTGTCCCTCTTGGGGCAAAACTGTCAAAGATTTTTGGGCCCCACTGGAGGCTAACTGCTATTTTTCTGAGGGGAGTAGACATTTTATATGTGCTTCTTACATCAGTAAGTTCCTATTCTGTGACTTGAATTAGTTGAAATAACTCTAATTATTGTTTAATTGAATTATTAAATATTAGTCCCTTCCCACTAGATTGAATGCGCTCGCGTGTTCAAGAATGGGTTGGCTACATTGAGTTGGTGTTCGTTGTCAGCCTCTTATTGGCTTCGACATTTATAGTAAGATTCATTTAAAATTGACTTTTAAATATTTAATAATCTGTGCTTAATGCCTTTTATTGGATCATTAATAGTGAATATGTAATTATTTGAGTGCTTAGTATATGACTCATACAGTTCTTTAATATTCTATTGATAAATAGAAGTACAACAATAATAGCACGTGGCAGTCTTTTGACCAAGGCGCATATGTACTGCGCAGTGCGCGCGTGTTCACGAGGGTTGGCAGCTTGCTTGCCAAGTGCTGGCGTAATGTCATTGGCTACAATTAAGGCGCGGATTTTTGATGATTGATCTTTATGTGGTGATATATAATGATATAAGTTGATATGGTTAAGCATAAACTAAACTTAACTAATTAAACAATAATTAAACAATAATTGAATTAATCTTAATCTTGAGGAATATTAAATATATAAAATATATAGTTCATAAAGAATTAATGTACTGTGAAATAATTATAATTATAATTATAATTATAATATGAACTGTTTTAATGAGACATTTAATTACATTAGTTAAATGAGATATTAGTTACTTGGTTAAACTAAGATGAATTAAGTGAACCAGAAACTTACTTATTTGAAAGGATTTATTGGAAGTTAATTCTTAATACACTAAAATAATAGAAGATTGGGATGCATTTAATGGTTGTGTTGTGTTGATTCTGATAATTCTTCTGAAACAAATTGGAACCTATTATAGGCATATTTATATACATTGTGTGGAAGAAAATATATTATGTGAATCAATCTCCTTGAACAATCGAAAATAGGAGATAGTTTGCAACTTAACTCATAATTTTTGGAGGTCCAAAACATATGTTACTTCTGTGCAAAGTAAAGTAGTGTCTTGCACATTGATTACTGTTTTGGATGACTTGTGTACGGATTTTACGACATAGTTCTCTCAACAACTCTGAAAATGAAAATAAAATAAATTAAATAAATAACTAGCATTAATATCTAAGAATTATACATTACTATCGAGAACAATATATTCGAACTATTAAAATAGGATAAGTAAATAATTTACTTGAGTAATTTATATGCATACGTGTGTATTAATTGCGGATAAACTTGATTTATGTGACGTGTCATCTCAAGATGGAAATAGGTTGCAGACTTTTGAGTGGTTGCAGGATCTTTCTTCTTCTTCCTTCATATGCAATACATGATTATTATTTTCAAGAATGAGATAAATGACTTACTTGAGTGTTTTGTTTAACTTGTGCATTGAACAATGCTGAAAATAAAATGAAATAGCATTAATATTTAATATTATGCGATGCACTAGTGAACTATTTGAACATTATTAAGTTTGAAATTATAATAAGTAAGATAACTTATATACACACGGACTTCCTCGTATAACATATGCTAAATGCACATTAAGTGCGTGGACAAACTTATAAAGAAATAGTTTAATTAATTAAATGACATACGTCATACAAGGTCTATAACTTTATATATATACATATACATATTTTGTGTGAATAATAAGATCTACACTATCGTGAACAATCTATTTGAACTATAAATAGGATAAATAACTAACTTGAGCATTTATAAGGATAAAAGAAAGATTATTCTTTTCTTTCTCCTCATTAATTTTGCCTGTGATGGACTTCGATGCATTATCTTAACGACTCTGAGAAGGAAAAATAAAATAAACTAGCATTATATTGTGCATTGCATTGGGTTTACTACTTGAACATTCAAATGTTAAACTCACAATAAGTATAGTATAATTTATATACGTACGTGTGTATTAATTGCTGATAAACTTGATTATGTGACGTGTCATCTCAAGATGGAAATAGGTTGCAGACTTTTGAGTGGTTGCAGGATCTTTCTTCTTCTTCTTCCTTTTATATGCAGCATATGAATGTTTTCAAGAATGAGATAAATGACTTACTTGAGTGTTTTGTTTAACTTATGCATTGAACAACACTGAAAAATAAAATGAAATAGCATTAATATTTAATATTATGCGATGCACTAGTGTACTATTTGGACATTATTAAGTGTTGAAGTTATAATAAGTAAGATAACTTATATACACACGGACTTCCTCGTATAACATATGCTAAATGCATATTAAGTGCGTGGACAAACTTATAAAGAAATAGTTTAATTAATTAAATGAAATACGTCATACAAGGTCTATAACTTTATATATATATACATATACATATTTTGTGTGAATAATAAGATCTACACTATCGTGAACAACCTATTTGAACTATTAAATAGGATAAATAACTAACCTGAGCATTTATAAGGATAAAAGAATGATTATTCTTCTCTTCCTCCTCATTAAATATTGAAGGAACTATATATAGGCTGTAATTGTGCTCCGGTGTGGTATCCTGAAATAAACCAGAAACTTTAGCATATTAATATATGGTTTATAACTAAGTGTTAGATAATAAATATTTCTACAGTATCGAGAACAATACAATATTTGAATTTAAAATAAATAAAATAGGATAAGTTTACTCTCTTGTTTACTTATTGAATTAACTTTGTTAAGAATACTGACTGGAATTTAATATCATGTGTCATATTATATTATATGCTTGATACATACCAAGTGCGTCGACAAATTTACAAGGAAGCTGATTGAACTAAATAATTGATATATGTTACGCAAGACATGTGTGATAAGTGACTGTTGGAGCGGAGGATGTACATCTGTCACTGAAGGATGATTAATGGCCCCGTTGATGCATTTGGAATCGTGTCAGAGGTCATGGTGTCCTGATTGAATGGAATTGCTGTCCTCCCTGGGATTGACTTGCAGGCTATGAGGTGGAGTTCTCTTTAAGTACTGTGCTGAAAATACAAGATAAGTGAAATTAATAACTGTTGTGAAGTGTAATTAATTAACTTCAGGCTATTTCACTATAACTTATTTTAGCTTACAATTATACTATTCAGATTAAACTAATAGTATATCATGTACTGTAATTGGTGAATTATTTGGACTTCATTAAGAACTGAATTTAAACTTAATCTAATTTAAAGTTAAATATAAGATAACTTATATTCAGAAAACGTGAGTGTTAATTGATGATTGACAATAAAATCATAATTTCTTGTGAATGTGTCATATGTAAATGGAAATAGCCTGACAGTTTGCCATGTTCGGATGCAGGGTTTTCCTTTTATGGACACTGCTGTTTATGTACTAATATTAGACGACATTGAATTTGCTAGTCGTTTATGAATAATTAGTGGAATATACTATCATATGATATATGTTGAAATTTCACTAAGTGAGTAGACAATAATTAATAATTGACACATATGACAATTGGATCTGCTTGTGTATATTGTCATCTGAGGGTGAATAATGGCTCCATTGATGCATCTTGTCTCAGAGGTTTTGATGCCCAGTATGTATGGAACATGCTGTGTCCTTTGGGATTAGATCACAGATTATGAGTATTATGTGGAGTCTTCATCATCGAGGCATTTACTGAAATATAAAATAAATGAAAGTTATTAACTACGATATGAAGTGTATAAAAGAACATTTATAGTATAAGCTAATTCAGGCTGTTATAACTTTATAACCTTATAACTTTATACACTTTACAAATTACAATATTAGATTAGATTAATTTAGAATAGTAAGAAAGTTAGTTTTTAAGTAATATATGAGAATCTATTATCATCATCATATATAATTAGACGATATATAACTTGTTAAATACAAGCTAATTCAGGCTGTTATAACTTTATAAATTTTATAAACTTTATAAATTACAATATTTAGATTAATTTAGAATAGTAAGAAAGTTAGTTTATATAATATATGAGAATCTATTATCATATATAATTAGACGATATACAACTTGCAGAAGGACTTGAATTATAATTAGTATGTCAGGATGTTGGAATGAGTGTGTGATTATGTGGTCACATACTTTTCTGCTCTGAAGTTGTGCGGTTGCCTTGTCAGTTGAATTATGAACTTTGAACTTTATGACTTTCTCATTCATTTTGGCCCTGATAAATATAAGAAAAATATAAGAGGTTGCTGTTAGAAGATTTTATAATACAATAATAGTAACGGTTATATTATACATACTTATGTGATATTGTAAGATTGATAATGGCAACCTATAACTTTACTCATTCCTGTTAAATTAGAGAGACTATAAACTCTTGCGTCATGATATGTGTAGGTCTGCGTGACATTCTTTATGGTTGCGTGTGCCTCTTTGACTGATGTTGAAGTTTTTCATATTTTCATATTATGGTAGCCTTGGGAGATTCTCTTCATACATTGTTGTTCCTAGAATATATGAAATCATATGAGAGCATGAGGTAACCTCTCTTAATAATAATAACAACTATTACAGAAACTTACAATTTAATATTTCAATTAATGATTTATAAGGGTTTCTGTAATATTAATAAGGCTGAATTACTTACCGCAATTTGCATATATCATGAATACTTATGTTTGATAATGTCCCAATGACATTACTTGGGTATCTTACTGATACTTGCGTTACTGTATTCTTTTCATTCATTTTGGCCCTTGATAAATATAAGAAGTATAAGAGGTTACTGTTAGAAGATTTCATAACACAATAATAGTAGTAATTAGATTATATATATTTATGTGATATGATAAGATTATTAATGACAACTTATAACTTTACTATTATTGTTAATTAGAGAGACTATAAACTCTTACGTCATGATATGTGTAGGTCTGCGTGACATTCTTTTATGGTTGCGAGTGCTTCTTTGTGGCTGATATTGAAGTTTTCATATGATAGCCTTGAGAGATTCTCTCTATACATTGTTGTTCCTCGTAGAATATATGAAATCATATGAGAATATGAGGGAACCTCTCCCTTAATAATAATAACAATTATTGCAGAAACTTATGCTTTTATATATTAATATTGATAACTGTCTGTTGTTAATCTATTTAGTTAAATAATAATTATTATAATTATAACTACAATTTAATATATCAATTAATGATTTATAAGGGTTTCTGTAATACTAATAAGGCTGAATTACTTTACCGTAATGTTGCATATATCATGAATACTTATGTTTGATAATGCCCCAATGACATTACTTGGTTATTTTTCTGATACTTTTGTCACTGTGCACTGCAGTTGCTATTTAGACAGAATACACAATTTATTGAAGGTACTATTTATACACGTATATTTTACGCTGCACTGCAAAAGTGTCATAACAACAAGTGAGGTTATGGTCTCTCTTGGAGAGTTTTCCTTTAGAATATTGTATTAAGTCACAAACGGACATTGATGCGCCATCTGTTGATGAATGTCAATGCCCGGTTGCCAAGGTGCTGAACAGCCATAGATCATAACATAGAAGCGAAACTTAATATTCTTAAGTGCGTTAGTAGAGTCACTAGATCTGGGGGAAAACCTGATAATTGAACAAACTCAGGTTTTCTCATGTTCTATCTTATATTGGAGTATTTTATACTTATATATAAGTGATTTCTTCTTATATATAATCAATAAGAGATTAATAAGTATAAATTAATATAATCTATAAATGAATAAATTAGTGAACTTTAATGTAAGATATATTAATAGGCGATTACATGAATAGTATTGAATAGCGTGCGGCTGGTCTTTGAATTTTAAGAAGACCTAATATTAGATAATAGTACTGTTTTTATTATCTTTTGTTCGTTTAATATTAATATTAGTTGTTATTTAGACAGAATACACAACTTATAGAAGGTACTATTTATACACGTATATTTTACGCTGTACTGCAAAAGTGTCATAACAACAAGTGAGGTTACGGTCTCTCTTGGAGAGTTTTCCTTTAGAATATTGTATTAAGTCACAAACGGACATTGATGCGCCATCTATTGATGAATGTCAATGCCCGGTTGCCAAGGTGCTGAACAGCCATAGATCATAACATAGAAGCGAAACTTAATATTCTTAAGTGCGTTAGTAGAGTCACTAGATCTGGGGGAAAACCTGATAATTGAACAAACTCAGGTTTTCTCATGTTCTATCTTATATTGGAGTATTTTATACTTATATATAAGTGATTTCTTCTTATATATATTCAATAAGAGATTAATAAGTATAAATTAATATAATCTTTGAATAAATTAGTGAACTTTAATGTAAGATATATTAATAGGCGATTACATAAATAGTATTGAATAGCGTGTGGCTGGTCTTTGAATTGTTGTATTTTAAGAAGACCTAACATTAGATAATAGTACTGTTTTTATTATGTTTTGTTCGTTTAATATTAATATTAATATTAATATTGATATACCATTATTATTAATGAATCACACTCTATTAACTAAATGAGTGGATGTAATTGATCTAAAGTATTACAGGTGTGTTAGTTACCGCAGCATCTCCTCCTCAGGTGTTTCCTGAGGATTGGAAGATAGTTGTACAAATAACACGCTCTCAATAGCTGTACTTAATAATTGTTAATTACACAATTTACATATAAGTGGTAGTTTGTTGCATTGATCCCTTGTGTTATTTTGTAATACTAAGGGAATCTATGCGAATGTTAAATATCGATTTACTTTTGTTACATTATTATTTAGATTTAATGCTACATACATATGCATATGCATTTATATGATTGCGACTGAAATTGATTAATTGTTGATTCATGCTTGAGTAAGGGTCATTAGCGTTGACTTTGGCTGTTGTAGAGACCTTGATGCGTTCATATTTTATATTTTCTTATATACATATATATATAGGTAATTTTTGATTGTTGGTATTGTTATCTGTTATTTCTTTGGTGAGTTATTGATTCAAGTCATTGATCCGTCAAAATTTAACTAGAAATTAGGGTAATATTTTATAATATATATACAGATATCATAGATTTAGATTTAATTGAGTTTAAAAGTGAATTAAATATATAGTATTACATAGTTTATAACATCATTAGTTTATAACATTATTAGTTTATAATATCATTAGATTATAATATCATTAGTTTTTCTTAAAATGGCATATCTTGTTGACATTGAGGAATACATTGATGAACTGATGAGTAGTAAAGTCACTCCAGAAGAAATAGTACTTAAAACAACTAGCATCCTGTATGCTTTAGAAGCTGAAACGAATAGTTATGATGTTAGGAATAGAATTAGATCCTCTATTGCATGTGCCAAATTGCTGTATGATTTTGGGCAAAAGATGTTTTTTGCTAAAACATACTTGATACATAAAGTCAAATTATTAGAAGTGCGTGGTGATGATGCGAGAGCAGAGATTAGTATGCTTCGTGCTCTGTCTCCTCCTCACAGTGAAGGGTCGTCAAAGAACCTCGAATTGAGTAATATTAAGGATGCAATTGCTCTGGATGTAAAGATTATAAAGGAAATCGATAAATCTCAAAGGGTGTTTCTCAATGTCAGTAAAGAACTAGAAATGGAGAAGAGAGTTCTTAATCAGCTAGATGAAGAGTTAGTCGGCATGTCTAGTTTTGAATGCGAAGATCCGTCAATGCCGCTAATAATGGAACCAAATTACAACCCGGGTTCTCTGCAGGTCGAGCAAGCTTGTAGTCGAGTTGCCTATTGCTCTATGGGAAGGAAACCCAGAAAAAAAACCACAAATATATACAAAATGGCTAGTACAATGGAAAACGAGATAAACTTACCGTCGCAGGAGGAAGTCGGAGCCTCCAGCGATCGGCTTGGCGGTGTTGTCGTCCCCGGCACCGCCTTGTCGTCAACTAGCGAGGGGCTAACTCGGATGTCTCCGGTGGGCGTTCGAGTGGAAATGGCTACCACCGAAGACTGTGAATTAATACGTGATCCGTCTCTGGAGGAGGATCCTCTGGGAGGATTGCCTTTCGAGTCCGAACAGATGACTACCGGGATCCAGGAAGTTATGGAAGTTCAAGATTTGGTTGAGGATATCACCAGGACTCCTGGCCCAGCGTCCAAAAGGAAGGCGGACGGGTCTCCGGAAGAGAGGAGTGTCCCCTCAAAAAGTAGATTTGTTGGAGGTGGAGTCCGCTCAGAGATCGATTGTATTCGAACAGAGACCAGCAAAGAGGAACCGCTTCATGATCCCGCAAAGATGAGGAGTAGCGCCTCTCCTGAGGAGGAAGATCTTAGGATTCGGAGGACCAGCGATAGGCTGAAGGCTGCTAAATCTGACAAATTTGAAAAGCTGAGAAGGAGACGTGAGGATAAGGCTAGGAGAGGCCTGGAGATGGAAGAGCGGATTAACCACATACGGTCCATTGTGGATTCTTCCTCATCAGACAGTAAAGACAATAGTCTTAAAGATGATAGCTTTATCAGTCAGAGGTCTGCTAGATCTACTAGATCGACTAGCAAAAGGACCGACCCGTTGACTGATAACAAACACAGTGCTGAGGAGGCTTTAGAGGCAGATCGGGCCAGGGTTAAGTCCAAGAAAAGACTCACATCTACGGCCATCAGGAGAAATATAACAACTGTAACTGAGGTACAACTGGAGAACGAGTTCAACTACAACAGAGAGGGTTGGCTTGAGTACTCTGGTAATGAATTGTGTGCCCGTAGCCTTGACTATCTTCATGAACTTGACAGACAATGGCAGGTGTCATCGAACATTGCCGGTTTTGTCAAGGCAAAAATGAAGAAATATAATAAAGTGGTTTCTGACATTGTTAGGGTTATGTCTGAAAAAATCGAAGCATGCGGAGATCCAATCAGACTTAAAAAAGAAAACATTAATCTTAACGACCGTCTTAAGGAAATGGAGCGCACGGAACTGAGGAATAAAAAAGAAATCGAGGATCTTTATAGAAAGATGAACGAAATGAGAAAGGAAATTAAAGACCTAAAAGTAAATCTCGAGTCTTCCTCTAGCACGATGAGGGATTCTCACTTTAAGGATAGGAGGAGCGACCATGGTCATCGCGAGACACTTGACCGTGACGCTTTCCCGCCCTTGCCTGGCCCTTCGAGGGCAACTCGGGATGGTGATGCCTGGCAAAAGGGTGGAGACTCTTTCCCACGGAAAAGACCTGACGGGATACAGGCCTCGGCCCCTAGAAGAGAGCTTGGGAGAGGTAAAGGTAACAAACAACTACCCGAAGCCACCCCTGTTTCGAGTAAAGGCATCAAAGTTATTAGCGATGTTCAATTGGTTCCTCCATTTCCTGCTGCTGCTTTCACTGGAGATCGTTTATCTAGTCCTGGCTGCTCTGTTGAATCGGATGAGAAATGGCAAACTGTGGGTAAGGATGGTAGACCGGTCAGATCTCGTTTTGATGGTATCTCTCAGCGTAGAAGAATTACTCAGCGGGTACATATAACCTCTGAGTCTGACGTAGGCAATTCGTCAAGAAAGGTTAACCTAAATAATAAAAGAACTAAGAAGAGGAGGCCAATGAGACCTGCTGTTGTGACTATCAATAGCAACAAAGACGACATTTCCAACCCAGAATTGCTGCGTCGTGCCAAGCAAGCTGTCGCACTGGACCAGCTCGGCATTAAGAGCACTAAAATTCGTACTGCGATCAACGGTGGTATTGTGATCGAAGTCCCTGGTCCTCAGGGTAACGAACTAGCCGGATTATTACGTACCAGAATCGAGGAAATCTTAAAAAGTGATGCAAAAGTTGCTAACCCAATCGAGATGGGCGAATTACGCATTCGTGGCCTTGACCACGCAACCTCACGCGAGGAAATATGCGAGAAGTTGGCAGACATTGGTAATTGCCACAAGGATTACCTCAAATTGAGCAATATTAGCCGGATGCGTGATGGCCTTGGTTCAATTTGGATCCATTGCCCGATCAACGCCGCCTTAAGGATAGCTGAAGAGGGCTCACTGGTTATCGGATGGACAAGGGTCAAGGTAGATCTTTTGCAGAAGCGTCCTGTACAATGTTTTCGTTGTTGGAGATTTGGACACGTCAGAAACGCGTGTACGTCAAGGACTGATAGAGCGGGCTCCTGCTTCAAATGTGGAGTCTCTGGTCACTCGGCTAATGGCTGCATGAACCCTCTTCACTGCGTCGTTTGTGCTGAGTTGGGCATGGAGTCCAAACATAGACTTGGTTCCCTGATATGCATTGGCAACCAGGGATTCAAAACTGGCGTACAATCCAACAGAAGGCCTAGCGGTCCGGTTGCGAGTTATGATAGAGACGTAAGGCCGCCTCCTACTGCAACTCGTCATTATGATAAGATTTATTCAAACCAACCTTAATAGAAGTTGGCCCGCTTTTGATCTATTAAAACAATATGCTCTAGAAAACTCCATAGGTCTCTGCATTGTCTCGGAACCTCCTGCTTCCCTGAGAAAC